GGTTAAATCTTGTCTTACTATATATTTTCTCTTAGTTTATCTTTTCTTTGTTCCTTTTTCCTCTTTTTTTTCTACTTTCTTTGGGATTAATTATGTATTTTCATGATTCTATTTGTCAGCTTATTAGCTATAAATCTTTCTTTTGTTGTTTTAGTGGTAACTTGAGTATTTATAGTGTAAGTCTTTAACTTAGAGCCATCTGCTTTAAGTAGAGTTACAATACTTTATTTATATTGTACAAGCCTTACAATAATATATTTCCACTTCTCTCCTGCTAAACTTTGTGGTATTTTTGTCGTACATTTTACTTTTACATATTTCATAAAAACCACACAATGCTGCCATTGTTTTTGTTTAAAAACTCAATTATCTTTCAAGGATATTGAAACAATAAGAAATGATCCTTATGTAATTATCTATGTAGCACATTTCAGTTGTTTTTCATTTCTTTACGTAGATACAGATTTGTATCTAGTATTGTTTTCTCTCTGTCTCAAGGGACCCTTTTTACATTCTTGTAGCACAGAGACACTGGTGATGAAACTGTTCAGATTTTATACATATGAAGACCTCCTTATTTTGCTTTTATTTTTGAGAGAATGTTTCTGCTAGGTACAGAATTCTAAATTGACAAGATTGTGTTTCAACACTTTAAAATGTGGATTCATTCTCTTTTTGATTTGACTCTTTCCAATCAGAGACACTGATATTATTCTCATCTCTCTTCCTGTGTACATAACATGTGTTTTTGTTTTTTATTGTTTGTTTCTCCCTAGTCTAACTGCTTTTAAGATTTCCTCTACATCATTGATTTTGAGAAATTTAATTATGATATTCCTTGGTATAATCTTTCTCATTTTTCTAGCCCTTTTGGCTTATTGATATTTTTAGATCTGTCAATTTACAGTTTTCATCAAATTTAGAAATATTTGTCCATTATTTCTGTAAATATATGTCTTTTACTGAGGTTTGGTATGATCTCTAAAAGTTTGGCATGAGTTTTCTAAAAATATCTCCAGATCTCTTCATAAATTCTTGTATATATGCAATATAGTTACAATAATCATGTGAATGTCTTCACCTGCTAATTCTAACATCTATGGTAATTCAGGTAAGTTTTAAGTCTATTTTTATTCTCATCATGAGTTGTATTTTCTGATTCTTTGTAGGACAAATAATTTTTTATTGCACCCCAGATGTTGCACATTTTGCCTTATGTTTGCTGAGAATTTTTTGTTCTGATAAATCAACTCAGCTTTATTCTGGATGCAATTAAGTTGCTTGGAAACACTTTGATCTTTTCAGGTTTTGCTTTTAAGCTTGTTTTTAGGCACAACTGGAAAGGTGCTTGGACTAGGAATAAGCACTTTCTACTGCTGAAGCAACTGCCATCTGAGTCCTCTACCAAATAACCCGATTCATGAGTTTCCCCAGTCTATCCAGCAGGCACAGGCACTATTCCTTGTCCTTTGTGATTACCTATCACAATTAACTCTAATCTATTCCTATGGGTGTTTCCTTGACCTCAAGGAGTTTCCTTGCATGCATGCACCAACTCATGTTCAGATGAGTAACTGGGGCAGAACCTGCAGAGTTTCCGTTTTGTCCAGCAATCTACTCTCTAGTACTCAGTCCTGCAAACTCCACTGACTATCATCCCTGGACCCTCATCTCTGTCTCTCTCTTGAATCCACCAGACTTGCCTATGCTTCCTCTCCTTACCTGGTGGCATGGAACCCCTCTCAAGGCAGTAAGCAGGGGCAATTCTAGGGCTCTCCTCAATTTTCCCTCTAACAAGTTACTGTCTTGAATTGTATCATATCTAGCTCTAGTGCCTTGAAAATTATCATTTCACATATGTTATCTGTGTTTTGATGGTTTTATGCAGGAGTGTAAACCTGCCAAATTACCCCATCTTGTTTGAGAATAGAAATCTCAGTTCTCTTTAATATGACAGCATAAGATAAATCCATAGAGAATATTATTTCAATGCCACAACTTTGGGCAATATTAATATCTGCAATATTTAAATCACTTATTCTGATTCTCACTAAGTTAATCAAGGTGAACCTTGGCTCTTCTAAGTATCTTAATCCTCCAAAGCAATTGACACTTCTGACCCTGCCATTCAGGAGCAAACCTTAAAATGCCTTGTAATTAAAATAATTTAATCCTTTTTGCTTAAGGGTAAAAACTTAGGGGAAAATACAGGTTATCACACTATTTCTAATTTTTAGCAGAGACTTTATATATATGTATACACACATATATATGTATATATATGACAGAGACGGAGGCACATAATGAAACAGAATGATAGAAACAGAAAAGGAAGTGATATGTGCTCTTGAAAGATCTCTCTAAACGCTATTTTTCTAGCTAGGATTTCAGTGCATATAAAGTTCACAGGGCATAAAGCCGTTAGCAATTTTACATTCCTACTATAAAATAAAATACATGTCTTCTTTTTTAGACCACTTAAAAGATTACCAAAACCAAAAGGGTGTACAAAGACAGACACGCATACATTTAATCATCATTAAAAAAAAAACACTCTGTAGCAGAAATCATACTAATTTTTCAAGTTTCTAATAATGAGTTCAAGATGGACTAACCACATGTTGCTGAATCCTTGCAGATTCTGTATTGTCTTTAGGACAAGAGACTTACACTTTCACAGTATGTTTTTCTTCAAGAGGCCTCAGATCACTGAGACTTTCTCCACCCTCATGAGTTTCACCATGAAATGATTCACCATGGGTGGGGAGTGTGGATATCACTCTTCATAAGCCCACCAGTGTGGTCTTGGCAGTTACTTGAATCTACTGGAAAAATGGAACAGAACACAAGGAATCCATCACTTTATAATTTTTTTTGCTACACAGGAACTAGTCTTACAAAAACATTCTGCATGAGTGTAAGAAAGTCTTACAAATATGTGAAATATATATTTTTTAATGTTTTCTGTTTTATGTAGATGTTTATCTCTATTTGGAGTCTATCAGAAAATATCAGTAGTAAAATTTACTTACTGGAAATTAGAACCATCCTCTAAGACCACCAAACCAAAGTCATTTAGATTTTAAGATTTTTAATCATATCTTAAATTTTGCCAAGCCAATTTATTATATATTAGGGGAAGAGTCATTTTCCTGATAATGCAAGAAAGGAAATAATCACAGAAAAGTACCGACCTAACCAGCCCTCACTCTCTGGCTTTAGCTTGAAATAACATCAGTGGCTAGTCTTGCTCCATCTTGTGATGATCAACAACTCATAAAACTGCGACAGGGGCAAAATTTTTATCTTTGTTTAGCTCACATTCAAAAGTAAATTGAAAGAAAACTGACCAAAGCTAAGTAGCTTTTTTGTTAGTGAAAAAAAAATTAGCAAATATAAATGTTCAGATTGTTCTTTGGGATATTTTTAATACATTTCTGTAAAACTTGGTTTATGATATTTATTGAATGTGTTATTAATCACTTTTGAAGCCTTGAACAGAAAAAGAGAAGAATTTACAACAGAGTATCTGTTTTGATTTTAAGTGTCTGATCAATAGGCCTGTTTTCTCTTCTCAAATATGGAAACAGCCAAAAGGATGCAAATCAACAGGCCTGTGGAGGTGTGTGAGCATCACACTTAGTAATGATAAAAGGTGGGGATCAGAAATGGCTGAGATGCATGGTCATAATTGAATTCCTAATGCCATAATCAATAATTTAATTTTACCCCCCAAACTGCTGGTTTCCCACCTAGAGGAAAGTACCTGGCTTACTACAAGGCTCCCATGAAAGCAGAAAGCAAGACGTTTCCGAAAAGACTGAGCTAAGCTTACTGAGTTTGCTTTGTGATAGTTCAACACATTGTGAAGTACATATTAATCTTCATTCCCATTATACCAATATTTTAATCGCATTGCTTAAAAGCTACAAGACATCCTTGCATTTTAACCTTGAAATTAGACTTTTCCAACAGTGCACAGTGGCAAGTAACAACAGTGTGAGTTTCCTTTATAAGTGAATACATTTAACAGATGGATTTCACATCACAAAAAAATAAAATTTCATAGTCAGAAACATCTTAGTGATATCACATGTAAATATCTCCCCTAATGAATGAAGAAACTGTAGCTCAGAAAGGTGAAGTGATGTGCCCAATATTCCCCAAGATTTTGATGGCAGAAGTGGCCTTGAAACACATGCCTTTTCACTTCCGTATTTTCTTGGATCGTGAACTTCACAAGAACGTCTCAGGTTTCCTCGCCCCCGCCCGTCACTGTGTAGGACATGCCGGTTGGAGCAGGCTGGCCTTCTCCCAGGTTGATTAGGCTCTGATAACACACCAGCAATTTAAGGTCAGCTTAACTTGTCGTTCCTGAGGGCAAGCCGTCTAAGAAGAATTCCTCTATTCCAGGACAGATTTTTTCTCCAGTATTTACTGCGAGAACCTGGTTGAGCTCCCAGGTGTAATTCTGACAATCTCCCCCATCTTATGGATCCAAGAAGTGGTGTTGATTTTTGAGTCTGTTCAGCTTTTCACGTGTTACTAGGATGGAGTGGCAACTTCCAAGCTCTTGACATGAGGAATTAGAAACTAGAGATTCTATATTTGTTTTCATATTTTATCTTTTCAGTAATGCCAGATGTTTATAAACATGACTAAAACTTAGAAAATCCAAGGATACAGCTGTTCAATTTTTCATAACCCCAAGAGAATTAATATTAAATTCACCCTCCATTTTTACCCAAACTTGCATACATTGACACATTTTTTGAATGTTTTTCTTCCTCTTTTTATGCTTGCAAATATTCTTCAATCTTTTAAAAATCAACACTGTTTTCTGGTTGGAGAAGTGGCTTTCACTGTGTTCCTCACAGCTGGGTGAGTAAATTTCCTTGGGAATGCCATCAAAATATAAGCCCATCTTCTGAGTGTTTTCATAAGTCATCATAAATGTTTTTTTTTTTTGGAGGGGGACAGGATTTGAATTTTTTTTTGGAGGGGGACAGGATTTGAATTTTTTTACCGACTTAATGATGTAAAGATTACCGAGAGAATAACCAAGAGAGAATGCTCCTCTTCGTATCATGAAGAAGTTGCCTTTTCACTACTTAAGAAAGAAAGTTTTCCTTCAAAGTCAGGGGGATATTCCTTTGTTTTCCATTCCATTTCTGTGTGACCACAAGTCCACCTCCCCCTAGAGGAGTCTGGGGTTGGGGAGAGAGTTGTGTTCCTCCTTCTCTTTGGGGCCCAAATTAAGCCCCAGGTGCTGCTTCTTCAGACTTCCCATCAATGCTTTAATCATGGTGCAAACTAAGCTAAATAAAAACCAAGCCATTTCCTGCCTCATTCACAGTCTTCTGTGTATTATGGTTAATGGTCAAGAAAATTAGTCCCATTCATTATAAAGATACTGTGTTTAAACAGTTTGTAAAGTGAAACCTTTAAATTTCCAATTTTTTTCTATCCACATTAGAGAATGTCATAGAAATATCTGTAATATTTGATACATCCTTTAACACGGTGCTCCTTTAGTCAGAAGAAAACAAATTTTTCTCTTCCAAGGGAAAAAAGAAAAAAAAATGAGGCTCTATGTTAGTATGAAAAAGAAAAAAAAGGGGGAAAGATCTTATTAATGCCTTTTCATTGTTTCAATAAATTTATATTTCAAATAAATTTGAATGAAATATGTCCATTTTATTTACGATAAAAAAGTTACTATTAGTGACTTGAAAACCATATAAAATGTACCAAGTTCAACTCAGAAAAGTTAATTATCACACCCATTTTTCATTGCATATATTCATTAAAATGATTCCCAATGCAATTCATATTTTCTATGTGAAAATTAAGTATAATTATTGTGATAAGGATAATACTGAATTTTACCTTCATTAGTCTGCAAAGACAAGCTACTTGTTCGTTATGTTCATTTTTCTAGTATTTCACATTAGTTAAGGAGAAATATATTTTAAATATACTATCTATGGTATTCTTGAGCTTTAATTTTTTAATAAAATCTCATCTCCAGTGTAAAATATAATAATGAGAATGCTGAATTCAGCAGGAAAATGAACTTTCTGTATCATATTCACTTTTTTTTTAACCTGAATACACTATTTCTTTGGCAAATCTTGACTTAAAAATAAATGATAAGCATATAATGATCAAAGAAATTGGTAACTTTATGATTAATATTAGCACTCTATGTTTTCTTTAAGAAGAAAGAAAAGAAGTAGACATAAAAAACACAGCAATAGCTGCTATGATTTAATTCTCTCTTACTCTAAGTTAAGCAGTTTAGTGAGTAACCTATGTTATATCTATACAATTTTTAAGTTATCAACTGTCTCTGTTTATAGTAAATATAAGCCAAGAAATTATGTCAGTTATCCTAGGTCACATCACCAGTAAATCTTAGAGACAGAAAACACATTTTTATATACACTTCCCTCAAGTATTAGTAGGAGAGACCAATCTACTGTAACAAAGAGATTCCAACTGCAGCAACGTAAGGGAAAAATGAGACAATTTCTTTCTCCTTCTTATGTACAAGTTCGAGAAAAGCATGGTGGATTGTCCAGTGGCTCATCAACCAGGAATACATATCCCTTTTCATTTTGTGGTTCTGTTATCCTTAAGGCCTCGATGTATGGTCTCAGCTGGGCCATCAGCAGGAACTGTCAGCAGGATGGAAGAAGAAAGAACTTGAAGGAGCCATGTTAATAACTTTTTGCCAATAGAGTAGGAAGGCTGAAAATGGAGTCTAGCTAGGCAACCACGTGCACAGTTCCCACTCTATTACCAATGAAGAAAAGAGGTAAGGACTTGGCTATGGACACTTGGGAGTTGCCACCACAACACAGATTCGTGTGATTTTAATTAGATCTCTACGTTGTTGGCCATCAGTCATGAGCCTTTCTCATCATCTCACCACACAGCTTCGGAAGCCATCCACATATTTCAATTTGGCCATTTCAAAACTAATAAACTCCAAATCAATTTCATCATAGCTCTTCTCTCCTAAACCAAAGTTTCTTTCTAAATGCACCACCTTGACCAAAGACCAATGACTAGTTTTCCAATCAGGAAATCTTTAAACTCTTTATTTTGCTTCATACGTTTCATTCATGAAGTCTTTCCAGATTTCTTTAAAAGCAGCAATTATATTCATCCTTTTCATGAATAATTGTATCCATCATTTTTTCTTCTGTTATAATAACAGAGTAATTGTCCTTTATTAATGTCACAAATTCAGATTCATTAACAGCCTACTACATGCCAGGTATTCTGCTTAATGTTGAAGAAATAATGATAAACAAAAATGAATAACAATAGCTATTATTTATATGGTACCTCCCCTATGCCATGTTCTATTCTATGCATTTAACATAAACTCACTTATTTCTCACAGGAATTCTAAAAAGATATTCAGATGACAACACAAGGATCTATAAGAATTAAGTAACTTTTCATGTTTACTTTCTAGAGCTTGGATTTGAACTTGGTCTCTAAAATCCATACTCTTCATCTAGTAGACTCTATGATCTTGCCTAATAGAAGTTACTGTCTAGTGAAAAACGTTACAGGGTAAATAAGTGTACAGATAAAATATTGTTACAGACTTTGATAATTGCTACAAAAGAAAAAATACAGTGACTATTTCAACTGTTAAGAATGTTTCTCGACTGGATAAATTTATACAATGGAATACTATTCAGCCATAAAAACCAACAACATAACACCATTTGCAGCAATACGGATGCTCCTGGAGAATGTCATTCTAAGTGAAGTAAGCCAGAAAGAGAAAGAAAAATACTACATGAGATCACTCATATGTGGAATCTAAAAAACAAAGACAAAAAAAACAAAGCATAAATACAAAACAGAAATAGACTCAGACATAGAATACAAACTCGTGGTTGCCAACGGGGTGGAGGGTGGGAAGGGATAGATGGGATTTTAAAATTGTAGAATAGATAAACAAGATTATACTGTAAAGCACAGGGAAATATACACAAGATCTTATGGTAGCTCACAGAGAAAAAAATGTGACAATGAATAGATATCTGTTCATGTATAACTGAAAAATTGTGCTCTACACTGGAATTTGACACAACATTGTAAAATGATTACAAATCAATAAAAAATTTATAAAAAAAAGAATGTTTCTTGAGGAAGTGAAGGAGAATGAGCAGGAGTTTAATATTCCAAGCAGAGAACACAATGCGGCAAGGAGTCAAATGAACCAGGAAGAGCAGAACACCTTGGAAACAGAAAGACCACGCGTCTAGAGCTGAGACATGGAGAGTGTGCCAGTGAGGCTGGAGAGTGACCAAGAGGCCTGATCTTGCATCTCTCTTTAAGTGGTTTTAAATTATTACTTTCTTGTAACAGGCACTGAAAAATTTCTTATGCAAAGGAGTGACATCATCTGATTCAAATTTTAAGATCTCCCTCAGGCTGCTATTCATCGCATAGATTACAAGGGGGTAGCGTGGATGTGGGTAAAGCTTTTAAGGAACCAAGGAAGCAGTACCAGATGACAGCAGTTTGGACTAAAATGATGCTCATAGCTCAGGTGGCAAGAAGTACATGAAATAAAGATAAACTTAGAAGGTAAATCAGTAGGACTGGTGATTGATCGGATACGAGCATGAGTGAGAGAATGTATTGTCAGGGTTAATGTCTGACTTTTAGCCCTACATCATGTCACTCATGGAGATAGGGAACCATGCCCTCAAGGGGGTCCAGGTTCAGGAATGATGACCTTGAGTTCAATTTTGGGCTTATTGGGTTTGTGGTGATATTTGAATATCCAACTGGACAAGTCTAGGAGAAAGTTGGATTATGTGAACTGGACATAAAAATTTGGGAATCACCTGAATGTTTAAGCTGAAAGTTAATGAGATAATGAGGGTAATGAAAAAATATTGGCTAAAAGAGGACGATCTCTGAAAGGGAAATGGAAAAGAATAGCTGGACAAACTGTAACTGGTTTACTCCCCAAACCTCCATACTTACGCGTTTCACTTTATCCCACTCCTCTTACTGTTCATTCTACATAATGTTGTTGGTGTAATTTCCTTTAAATATGTCTATCAAAAGTCACCAGTCCTGTATGCTGCTGCTAATTTTCTCTTACTGAATGCTTACATGTTTTAATAAGATATCATAATGAAATTTTACTATAACAATTATATTCAGATAAAAAGAACAATCCAATTGGGGGTAGGGGATTAAGAGGTACAAATTACTCTGTATAAAATAAGCTACAAGGATATATTGTACACAGAGAATATAGCCAATATTTTATAATTACTATAAATGGAGTATAACCTTTAAAAAATTGTGAATCACTATATTGGACACTTGTAACATATAATATTGTACATCACCTATACATCAAGGAAAGGATAAAAATAAATTTTAAATTTGTTTAAATATAAGAAAAAACTTCATACTAAAAAATATATATAAGAATGGTTAAATAAATGCTCCATTATTTTTGTGTCACCAATTAGCTGCTATTTTGGAAATTGTAGAAATACCTTTCTCAGTGAAAAAATGGTTAACAGAAATTTAAAAAAAACATATCTTTAAAAAACGCATTATCTTGTCTTTGTTGTAAAGGTTTATTCTTAAAGCTTACGTATAGAAATTCAATAACAATTTTGTATTAAAAAAAGTCTCATTCAAACTATTTTGCACTTCTCTCCAGCCACAATTGTATTAAAACAGACAGAGCAAATAACTGGATAGACAAAAGACCAGCCACTACAAAGAGCAAGAGAAATCATTGTGGTAAAAGAAAACAGATGATGCAGAAATTAAATACTAAGATCACCGTGGAATTTTTGAGAGTAACTATTGACTCAAGAGTGCAAGATGTTTTTGTCTTTAAAACATTATCTGTTGTAAATCTATCTCACTTCAAGCCCACATTACTTGATTGACTAATTTACCTTTGTCTAGACTTAATATAGTTCATTTCTTACATACATAAAAAGGAACCCATGAAATAGATTCCAAATTTATTTTCTCCATAGGAAGACAAATAAAAGGGGGTGGGAGACAACTGCAATTATTACCTTTTGTTTTTATCAATGGTCTCACAAGGAAGAGCAACAAAAAAAGGTTGTGTTTTTATTTTTCTTTTTCTCCAGATCCATTGTGGAGAATATTCAGAGACACATTGATTCAAAAAATATTTGTTGACCAAATGTCCACTTCATTGTACTTTTGCACCTCACTGTATTCCTGGTTATAAATAGCATATTAAAATTTTAATCATTTAAATTAAGTTTTGACGCACAACTTGTAATGATGAAGGCTAAAACTGATGGCAATTAAATTATCTATCTTAAACATACTAGTCAATTTAAAATGAACATAATTTGACAATGTTAACACATGTGTTCAAGGCTCCTTTTCTACACCATTTACTTCTAAGTAAATGTTCTGAGTCAGTACATTAAAGAGACAAAATCAGAAATAGTTTCCATTATTATCATTGTTGTTATTGCTATCACTATTATTTTAATTCTGTTATGCTAAATACCAGGGCAGTTAAAACACATTTCTCAATACTATGTAGGATGAAAAATAAAATCAGCTACTATACTGAGATCTGTTGGAAACACTCCATCTGATAGGTCTATATTGTTCCAATTATATACATTTTGAAGCAACTCTGGATATCTAAAAGATTGTAAGAAGATAATTGACTTTTTAAACTTCAAAGCAATAAGAATAACTGTAGAAATTATTGGTCG